TTTCTTTCTTTCTTTCTTTCTTTCTTTCTTTCTTTCTTTCTTTCTTTCTTTTTTAAGATTTATTTATTTATTTTTAAGATGTATTTATTCATACAGACCTGGGGTACAGACAGAGGCACTGGAGTGGTAAGAAGATTCACCAGAGACAGAGAGGGGAACAGGATAGGCACTTTGATGAAGTATACTGCTTGAGAGGAGCAGCGGGTGGGTCAGGAGAGGTCTGCCACACCATGTGGGTCACCTCCAGGGCAGGTATTGAACCCGCAGTGAAGGAGCTGTAGCCAGCTTGCAGTGCTGCATTTTAACCTACTGTGCCTCCAGGGAGGGCCCGCCCCAGTTCTATTTCTTGATTCAGAGTGAATACACAGACAGATGCTCCTCTTCAGCTCGAACACCACCTCCCTTCATGACCACCTCATTTCCTAATGTGAGACCTTCTCTCTAGTCCTTCACAGGAAATGGCCTGTAGTACTTCTCCTTTCATCCCCTTTCTCTACCATCTTTCTTATTCTGCCTTAGACTTCTTGATCTTCAGGATCTGTCAGATCCAGTGATTATTTGGTTTTTGTTCCCTTCCTAACTGCCCAAAAAGCTCAGAACCCCAAGAATTCCTTCCACTACTTTCTTTTTGATAGAAAACACTGATATTGTAGAGGGTCATAGGGGTTGGTAGAAGGAACATCAATAAAAAGGAAACCATCAAAAAATAAAAGATTAGCTGAGCCAAGGTTAATCTCCTACCCCTATCCTAGGCTAAAATTCAGCTTAGGTTCTATAGAGGGGACTTTGTGTGTGTATTAGGCAGCTAAGGTTAGTAACACAAAATGATGAGAAGAACCTCAAAAGAAACAAGATACAGCAAATACATTTCATTTTAGGAACATTTTGTTGCTGTCATGAGGCATCAGATTCGACTCTGCTTCTTGGCAACCTGGAAGGAAGCACATACTTAAGAGAAAAAGACACTTGTCCCACCTGCTTCCTGGTGCTGGAAATTTTCTCGCATTTCACAGGCCAGTTTAGATTAAAGCTGTAAAGATAGAATTGTCACTTCGTACACTAGCCTCACCTGGTGCTTAAGGACCTTAATGCTATTTTAAAATTCCCTCCCACGACTTCATCCCCACTAAGATCTTTAGTAGGGTTCCGGTATTGCTATAGTGAGTTTTTGATCTTTTCAGCTACATCTTAGCACAAAATGAATGGTTGAAATACACTTTCCTTTATCCACTGAACTGATCTTTAAAACTTTTTTTTTTCTCCTTAAGAAAAATACCAGATGGTTTCACTTACAGCAGGAGCATAAAGGACCGAAGGGGGGGAAATAGTAATAATGAACAACTGTATACCAGAGATATTTTATAGGGGTGGAGTGGGGAATGGGATCAGGAACAGTGGAGGGGGGGGGAGTGCACTAGACTATGGTGATGGCACACGGGTGATTTGGTGATAGGAAGCCCACGGGGATCACAACTAAAATGGAAAAAGGCACGAAGTGATGTAAAAATAAATATTATATTAAAATAAAAACTATATTTAAAAAAATTTTTTTTAAATCATAAATGTGACACATTGAACTGACCTTTTGAACAGAAAAGCAGGCTTATTGTCTGAGGAAATCTGCTTTCTCAGACTTACCTTTGATTACTTTCCACCTAAAAAGCTGACCCACATTGAACATGGATAAGATGGGATCCTCTGAAAAGTGTCCTCAATAAACAGCTTTAGGGTACTCTCTTTACTGCCTTATAGCCTCCTTTAAATTGGTAAACTGTGTTGTTTACAAAGCTGTGTGCAAGGTTGTCCATTTGATAAGGTGGAACTTGAAAATAGCAACTCTACTATAGAGTTTTTAGCAACAATGACTCAATGGCCAGTTGGGATACATTTTCTTTGTCTGTCTGTCTATCTTCATTTTGTACATTTTTTCATCTCAGTTGTAATCCCCATGAATTTCTCACCACCAGTGCACCCATGTGCCATCACCATAGGCTCATGTGTTCTCCTGCCCCAGCTTTGTTCTGTTCCCCTCAGTTCCTCTGTAGAATGTCTCTGGTTTATAGTTAGTTGACTTTAGTTTTTACCTATTACGGTTACTTTTTTTTTTTTTTTAAAATTTTTTTATTTATGCTTACAAGAACTGGGATACAGACCAGAGGTGTAGGGGGTGAGAGGATTCACCAGGGACAGAACAGGCAGATTGACTGAAATACACTGCTAAGGGGAGCAGTGGGCGAGTCAAGAGAGGCCACGTGGGTGGGTCACCTCCGTGACCAGGGATCCAACTCATGTTGAAGCAGCTGCCTCTAGCTTCACAGTGCTGTACTTTAACCTGTTGCACCACTGGGGAGGGCCCACTGCTGTTCTGATTTTTAATATGATTTTTTTTTTTAAGATTTTATTTATTTATACAGAACTGGGGTACAGGCCGGAGATGCGGAAGGTGAGAGGATTCACCAGAGACAGAGTGGGGAGCAGAACAGGCAGATTGACGAAGTACACTGCTGAGGGGAGCAGCGGGCGGGTCAGGAGAGGTCTGCAACGCCATGTGGATCTCCTCCGGGGCAGGCGGGAATCGAACTCATGCGGTAGTGGCTTAAACTTCTTAGTGCAGTGCTTTAACCCGCTGCGCCACCAGGAGGGCCCTAATATGATTTTTTAAAATCGTTTTTCTGTTAAATATTTTACAAAACTGATACCAAGGTCTTGTTAGCTTTTAGTAACTGGGCATGTTTGGGAAAGTTGTGTGAAAGATGGAATAGGCACTAGGAAAAATACCAATGTCAGTTCACTAATTACTGTGGGGCTTTCTTCCCACAGTAGCAGTCTCCACTAACGTTTATTTGGGGGTTCTCTGAAATAGAAGGCTCCTCAGAAATTGGGAGCAGTTTTTGAGGATATACATTTTGATAAGAGTTGAAAACAGTCAAGGAGAGAAAAGCTACCTTTATATATATACACACACTATATATATATATACATACACACACACACTTGTGTGTGTGTGTGTATGTATATAACTAGATACTTTACTGAGAATAATTAAAGTTGAAAGAAATCTTTTAAGATCTCTTTTTTTGTTGTGTAAATAAGTCAGCATAGTTAAGAATAGAATGTGCCAATCAGTAAAGCCTTTTATGCCTTATATGCATATAGATTCTTGGAGCGTATTGATTTTTTCTCTATAACTTAGGGTATTTCCTGTTTTATAAAACCCTATTTATGTCATTATTCTACTATAATATACATTTCGTAAAAAAAAAAAAATTAATGCTGTGTGTGTGTGTGTGTGTGTGTACAGATGTATGAGTTTTACCAGATTGTGTAGGTACTACCACCTTGAGATACAGAACATTTCCATCACCCCAGCAATTTCTTGAGGTTTCCTTTTATAGTACTCCCTCTTGCCACCCCCAGTCCTTAGCAACCACTAATCCTGTTTTCTGCCCCTCTAGTTTTGCCTCCCTGGCCCTATAGGGTTCAAACTTGTGCTGTAGTAGCAGCAGATAGCTTCCTAGTGCTGTGCTTACCCTTGCACCACCAGGGAGGGCCCTGTTTCTACATTTTAACCATTTTGAATAATGTTTTCAGCACTTGTGTATAGGTTTTGTATGGACATAAGTTTTCAGTTCCTTTGAGTATGCACTTAAGAGTGGAATTGCTCAGTTATATGGTAACTCTGTGTTCAGCATTTCAAGGAATTGCCAAATTGTTTTTCAAAGTGGTCATACCATTTTAGAATCCTATCAGCAACAGATGAAGGTTCTAATTTCACTGTGTCCTTTCCAACACCTTTTGTTTTCTATATTGTTTTGAATTGGTTTAAAAGGTTTTATTTATTATACAAGAATTGAGGCACAGGCCAGAGATGCAAGGGGTGGGAGATTCACCAGAGACTGAGTCAGGAACACAACAGGCAGATTGTCTGTAATACACTGCTGAGAGGAGTAACAAGCAAGAGAGTAGAGTTCTTCTGTGCTATGTGGGTCAGTCAGCTCCCTGGCCGGGGACCAGACTTGGGTTTCAATGGCTGTGGGTGGCTTTGTAGTGCTGTGCTTCACCCCTTGTACC